GAACGGACATAGGGACCTTTGACACTGACAAAACCACTAAATTTCCTTATTAGGAGAGACGGATAACCTCCAACGGAATTCATGTATTTGAACGAGCCGGTTTTCATTTGGATAAATTTTGTCTTTCAGTTCAGAACAAAATATATTAAGTATTGAGATGATATTTTTTGTACACACTTATGACAAATGAAAGAATGGAAAAGAAAAGTATTTTTGAAGTGTGTAAAGATTTTAATTTTTAGTTGAGCGCTTTCGGATTACAAAGCCATCCTCAGAACTGTGGTGAAGTTTATAAAGTAACATTACTAAAGAGGAATCCCATTGGTGGAAAATACAAATTTTCCTTTACAAGTTAAAAATTTAATAGAAAAAATGAAAAATTTGTTTGTAAGAACCCGACCATTTGGATGAAGTTGAAGAGGTAGACAAAACTGCTTCTGTTTAGCCATTAAGTTATGTAGTCGAAGTAGGTTTTAAAGTTAGAAATCTTTTTATTTCTGTTGTAATCAATATAAAGCATCTAATATGAAAATACGTTCAGAACAACTCTTTATTTCTTATTAGAATGCAATATTCGATATCAGCCAACTTTGTCACTCTCCTCTCATATTCACCGCAAGAAAGTGACTCCACTTACCAAAATAATGGACCTATCCTATGCAGCGCTGCAGCATGCATCTCTTGTTCATTTGAGACTTCCAACCTCGTAGAGCATTAAGGGGTTCTTTTCAATAATTTAATAATATTTTAAGATTTTTATCACAAACTTAAAAAAAAAAAATTCGAGAAAAACGTGTTTAAAAAAAACATTTTTTTTCTACTAACACAGTATCGTCAATTCCAGGCCAATATAGCGATATAGTGATTCCGGCTAAAATATCTAAAGCATCTTTTTGCTCCTGCTTTCGACGAATTCTGCTTCTTTTTATTCCATCCACAGCTATTTAAGTCGCTCTGGTAATCCGATTGTTATCTACCGCGACTGCATAATTATGAGAACTTGACACTGTACTTATTCCAATTTCTCACCTCATTCATAGTGCTCACTCACTCACCTCTCTTAATCACCTCAATTACTCATCTCACTCATCTCATTCACACACCTCATTCACTTAATAACTCACTCCTAAATGAGTATAACTCCATCAATTTTACTCCGATCACTCGGAAATTTTAACTGGATACTTTTGAAGAGATTAGGAATAAAAAAATTAAAAGAACGCAAAAAATATCCGTACTCCTTAAGACCATTGCTAATTAGAGTAGTAAGGATTGTAAGGATATTGTAAGAATTTTTCCAGAAATGAACCGTCAAGAAAAGTCGTTGTGTAAAAAATAAGTAACTCCAAAACATCAGAGGACATAACCTCATATACTTCGGAATATTCTATAATTGTCTTAAGTTTTCTTTATATATATATATATATATATATATATATATATATATATATTATTTATATATAAATATATATCTACTTGTTAACAATAAACTTTCTCTTACAATAAAATGTTGAAAAATATGTAAAAGGTTTATCGAGCCAACAAAGACTGTAACCAATATACTCCATATATTTTAGTGATATTAATATTATATTTGATAAGCAGTATAATGCTAAAGAGAACACAAGGAGTCTAACATTCAAAGTAAATTAAGAACAGCCATCATTCAATACATTCATATAACGTGTGATTATTGAACAAAGAAGTGTGATTATTATTACATTCAACAAAAAACTTTTATTGAAAGTTTTTTTGGACTTTTAATTTTAAAGCTAACATACTCTTTCCAAATTTCTACATAGAAACCAAAATTATTTTTGCATCAATTGATTAATCAAACTTATCTTTTACAATAAAGCTCTTATTTGTGTATAATTTGTCACATGTCACCTTAACATTTCCGTTAAGACCGGAAGCCATTCTCTCTCCTGATGCCGACCTGCTTGTGCCGAAATGTTTGTCCTTGTGTAGTGTATTGTAATGTACAATTTTATGTTTATAACATTCTCCAACTGTTGGATAGGCCAAAATTTACGAAGTTTTTTATCGAAGTTAATTAATTTCTTCGGTTAAAAAAACGTTTCTTGGCTTATTTCACATGCACCTGAAAAGCTCTAGGAAGCCAAAGTACTTAGGCAAGATTTAATTAATAAAACTGTGCTCGATATCTGCCTTTTATTTGATCAAAGTTCATTCATTCAAGCATTCAACCTTATATCGATTTAAATAAAGCTTCCTCAAGATCTAATTTTCGGAAGATTGCCTAACTGCGAAGAAGAACGTTCATCCCTGACGTACAGTTCCCGTCATATAAAACTGGTACTTTTTTTCCCCAATGTAAACCTGTGTTCAGACTTGGTTCGTGAATCAATTCGTTGTTGCCATCACAGATAACGGAATTGCACTAAATCTAAATAAAAAAGAACGTTCAAAAATGTTTAAAATTTTTATATAGGTATTATTATTATCATTACCAAAAAAAACTCAAAATGTTAAAAGGATCTTTAAACGTAGAGTATTGGCACAGAAAACATTGGAATGAATCTACTGTAATTTTATAATGTGACTGTGGCACAGCCCCCCTTTTAGCTGATTTGATACAATATTTCTTTGAACTGGCAACGTTGCCATAGAAATTAGAATGCTATATGTGACAAGATCAACTTACACAACTTGAAAAACACGATTTTCGGTTATAAGATTTGTACCAGTTTTTTATGACGCGAAGGGTACATCGAAAATTTAAGAGAAACATTGGAAAAAGTTTACGAATTTGCTCGTAAAAGTTTGAAGATTCAAAGTGATAAAGCCAAGGCCAGGCTCGACATAATGCTACTGGTACAACTTTCGAAAGAGGTGATCAAGTATGGTTATACAATCCCACACATAAGAAAGAACTTTGTCCGAAACTTGGGAAATTGGGAAGGCCCGTACACCGTCTTGCTTAAGATAAATGATCTAATCTACCGCATCCAGTTTTCAGCTAGAAATAAACCTAAGGTAGTTCATATCGAGAGATTAGCTCCATACCATGGAACTGATCCACCCTGTTGGCTTCAATCGATCCCTGATAGTCCAGTTATTCAAGGCGAATAACTATAAAGGAAGGAGCAGTGTTACGAAAATTCCGTACAATGTATCCCACATAGAAAAAGTACCTTGACGAAAACAGACTATGTCTATTGAAGTACAAAAAAATGTTTTTGACAGTTTATAACAGTAGTTGTATTTTGAGTTTTGAAGTTTACAGCTGTCAGTCAGTTAAAGTATTGCAAACAACTTTGAGTTTGAATAAAGTTAATTTTAAGAAGTGTAACAATATAATTATAGTAATATTTACACTTGTCACGTCAACATAGTCAAAAGCTTAATTTTACTTAACATCGATATGTACTGATTATCTGAGTTATACTGTGTTATGAAATTAATAAAAACTAAAGACAAAATGTAAAAAAGAACTATTCTTGAAATGAACAAAACAGTTAAATTCAAAACTTGGGAATAAATATATCACAAGGGAAATAAAAATAAAAATCTGCCAGGCCTTTTTATTTTTACTATAGCAATATGTCAGTTGTATTTAAAATTTCCAGAACATCAACCTTACAGTTCAAATTTTCCTAACACAGCTAATAATACGAAACCCATACGGAACTGCTCGATCTTTCATAGGCATCAACATGGTGTAATAATCAGAACAATGTAATCATCATTATATTGGAAATTTTTGAATTATATTGATTAAATAACCAAAAACATTTGTTATTATTAATAATATAAATTTTATAAAATAACTCTTAAGTCTGATATTCCACAAAATAATAATTTTAATTAAATATATTAGACAATTGTACGCAACCGATACGGAAATATTTCAAATTTTATTGACAGTTAAGCGTGTGGCAAAAATGTATTAAGTGTTGCTGCTTTTTTAGAGTAGGAATCTTGTTTATGTTTTGATTTCTTACACAATTTGATCATAATATAGTATATATTAATAAATTGTATTTATAAATACATATTAAATTTAGATTAATAGTTTTAAAAACTAATTATTGTTGTGTATTGTGATTGTGATATGCCAAAACAAATAAATATTCTGTAGAAAGCTGATAAACTTACATATAAGATAGAATATTTTGAGGTAAGCCCTAAAAGAGGTAAGTTTAAAATTTAGAATATATAATTTTGTATTAAAATGTTTTCTCATGTATTTTAATGTGTTGCAGTAGTCTTAAAACTAAGTGTATTTACTGTTAATATAATAGGTTGAAAAGTAGTTGACATTTTAAAAATTCCTCACTTACTAACTATTCTGATGTTTTGGCAACGCTGTGGGGTTCTGACAATCGTAAATCTTGAATGACGTGCAAGCTTTTTTATATGAAAAATGCTATACGTAACAACTTACACTGGGATAAAATAGGTAAATACTACGGAAATACAATATTCGAGAAGAAATTAAACTATGACTTTAATGAATATAGTTTAAAACAGAAATAATCAAAAAATGGTTTCAATATTTGTCAATAACAACTGATCAGGCATATCGTTAAAAGAGGTTCATACTCATTAGTACATGTTCAAAAAAAATACAAAAGTTGAAAAACAGGCATCAGTCTCAAGGGATCTTGAAAAGAATGGACAAAGATAACGAATATGAGCAAATTATAAAAGAATAATAAAAATCAAATTTATAATAAATATAATTTGAAACACCAAAAACACCGGTTTCTGTGTTAACTACCTGGTAAATTATATGTTTTTGGTAAATTATAAATATAGTACTAACTACTATTGATTGAACTTTAACTGGTAAAATATATTCAAATAATAAAAGTAAAAATTATTAAATACTTTAGAAGCATTTAAGTCCACCATACCCAAAACAAGAAACTTGTTAATCATAAAATTACATATGTATTAACTAGTAAGAAAAATGTATTGAATGAATGACAAATTCTTTTTCACCATATTTATTTTAAAACTATGTATTGTACCTTGCAAATATACGGCAGAGAAATATGCGGTGCAATGCCTACACATTCGTGATGATAAAGACACAAACATACTCTGCATTGTAGTGTCGGTATTGTACCAGGTTTACAACGAATTGAACAAGGCTGACAGGGTTTGTCAGGCCCAACTTCACTGCATTCTTCACTTTGATTACCATCTCCTTCGGCACTGTAATATGTTACCATGCAATCAGGGTTTGATATATGAAGGACTTTCAGGATATGGACTACAGGATTGGTTCATATGTTTATGTTGTTTTTAATTTCAAAGCAAGGGGAGCGTTAAACTACTTCCAATACGACCAATCAATTAAAAAAGAGGAACAAAATTTATTTTTTTTTTTTAATATGTATGGTTTATTTTTAATTATAATTAGTCTATAAAAAGTTTAAAGGCCTCTCAAATATTACTTATATTATTAAAATTATAATATATTATTAAAAATCATTTGGGCATGCATGAACATTCAATGAAACATATATATTTTCGTTAAGATATTTTTTGTAATATTACAAATATTAAAAAATAATATAAATATATCCATTACATTACATCTCATTTAAACGCCACAATGATTCACCACTTCTTGGATTGTGTGTGTTATTTCTGCTTTTATTTCTTAATTGAGCTGAATACCCAACTTTAGTATTACTTAGTGTGTGGTACGCCCACAGATATTGCGTTTTACATGGTTTTGTAAAATAATGACAATTATTGCTGTCAGTTATTTATTTCATATTGGACAACAAAGTACCAATGTTCAATACGAATTTTGGATTTTCTACGTTGAATTGTTTCCCTTTTTCTAAGGGTTCACAAAACAAAACGAAGCGATTCTTTGAATAAAACCTATATATCAAAATTTTTAAATTTCCTTAAAGGAAAATAAGGCAATTTTCCATACTTAAGTATTTTATTTTTTAAGTTAACTAAATTCCTAAAATATTGTAATGATATATTTAATTAGCACCATTACAAGAGTTTTTCTAAAGACCGATCATGTAATTGCTAATTTTTCTGGTATTATGAATACTTACCTTAATTTCCGAAGTTTTGGAACATTAGTGTGGTATAGAAGCATCAGCATTTCTTTGCTTAATTTGGGTTCTTTAGAACTACCCCCTTAAAACACCAAATGGATATCTTTTCATATTTACCACAATATAAAAAACAATGTAGTGGTATTTTCTGTTTATCATATAGTCATAATTTTTCAATAACCAACCTTAACATAAATTAGTGATGCGTATTCTCTCTTTAAACCAATTCTTTATAAGAACATATCTTTAAATGTTTTACCATGATTGTTTGATTGTGCCATTTACATGACCTTTTTAAAACTTCCCATGTTAAATCAATTGTACTAAATTAATACAAAGGGTTACAATAAAGAAATGCAAACATTAAATGCTGAAACTAGAAAACGAAATAGTACGCAGTGCGCTTTACGATGAAAAATGCTTTTTGCTCTATATATTCAAACATGGCTCGATCATACAGCGCAACAATAAGCACCTCCAGTATAAAAAAGCTTGGATATGCATATTTCAGATCGTATCAGGTATTTCTGGTCCGGGTTTCAATCAATTCTTCGGAAAACCTCTACATATAAAGTTGAACAAGATAGTAGAAAATAATCAGTCTCTTCTACTTCTTTATGTGCTGGCCACTCGTAGCCTAAATGGTCAATTAAGTCATTCGGTGTACAGAAAAAGAAATCCACTCGAACAAATCTTCATTTCTGTCCTTCTGTTAGGCCTTATCCATTGGGTCATTTCTATTTCTAAACTCGACAACTCTAAAGATGAACTTTCCCACCTTCAAGAGACTATCATCTAGAGTGGTTACTTCACGTTCATAGTCCAAAAGCTTCCTATCGGCAGTTAGTATATCAGCGTGCCTCTAACTCAGATTCTATCCTCGTACATTTGTCGCCTTCAATCTCGTATATTCTCTTCATCACAGGACCACTTTACGACCACGCAGGAAAATTTCTAAGCCACTGCCTGCTTCAAAAACCCACCACCGACTCTCTCTTCTTGTGGTATATATACCATCATCTGTTAAATATTCTATATGGTTTGAAAAATCTGTAATCTTTCCAAAAAGTTCCTATTTAAAGAGGTAGAAATCCAAAGGCATCTCCAAAATGTTACCCATCTAACAGAGAGGAACACTGCATCTTATTCCTTCCCAACCTTGAAATTAAGTGTGCACTGTCCACCAGAACCCGCTAACAGACGCAAGGCGCGGTAACTACCCTCACAATCCGAAAGAACACGACAATGATCGACGATCCAAGCGATGAGTTATCTACGGGCGTTTATAGAGTGGTTTCAGCTCGTCTCGTACAGACCGATATCTTTACCGAACATTCTCAGTTGTCTTCGAGATAATCGTCAAGAAGAGATTCAGGTTTACCAAGGAAAATACCATCACCTCCACATTCCAACTAGGCTTTCGAGAAGGTCATACTACTACAACTGCGTTGACTGAAATCGTTAGTTTACCCACAACCTCAATGACAAAAAATTCGCCTCAGTAATCTTTTTCGATGTTCAGAAAGTCTATAACAAAGTGTGGGATGTGGGATTACTAAACGTCTGCTCACTCGTATTTTTCAGATAGCAGCATCCACGTCAAGGTGAAAAATCACTTCTTGACAGCATTCATTCCCAAGGGAGTACCTCAAGGTTCCATTCTTGTACAACTAATACAATGACACTCAATGTACTTTCATAGAATGTGGCATGAATGTGGAAATATATGCCTGCTTTATAAACTATCACACACCTTTTTATTGCATTTAGTGCACTAGGAGATACTCAGAGCAAAGGGTATGGATGAGGGTGACTTACGAAATATATGCCTGCTTTATAAACTATCACACACCTTTTTATTGCATTTAGTGCACTAGGAGATACTCAGAGCAAAGGGTATGGATGAGGGTGACTTACGAATCATCACAGAACTGTATTGGCATCGGATAGCTCAAGTATGGGTAAGGAGATAGACATAAGACAAGATGAATATTGTCCCCATTCTATCATTCAGAGGCTCTTAGAGGTAATATAGCAAGAATCATAATTAACAGCAAAAGAATTAAGAATATATTATGATACACCGATGATACAATAGTTCTTGCAGTAGCCTACCGGAACTACAGAAACTTATAAACGACGTTGTTATGTACTCTCAATTCTTCTCTACGGCTGTGAGCTGGAGTCATAACCTCTTACTAAGTATTATCTGGACCAAAAGAACAATAAACACCGAAGCTCTTAACAGAATGCAGAAAAAAAAAAAACGTGCCGACGATCAAAGAGCGTAAACTAACGTACATCGATCATGTAATGACGGCAAACACATACAAAATATTTCGGTTGATATTTAATGAAAAATTCGGGGAAAAAGTCAATTGGAGAACACAAATTTCTTGGGTCAAGAACCGACGACGTTGGCTGGACAAAAAATTGACCGAGATCTTCAGAGCCGCTGTTTCGCGAATAGCTGTAAACAATTGGATCGACAACCTACCAAGGGAGATGGCGCAGTAAGAAGAAGATGGGGAGATTGACTCCACTTCAGCGATAAGTGTATTGTTCAGTAGAACACTGTACTGGACCTGATGTGAAATCAACCCTGGATAGGTTAAGACGAAGAATCGGTCTTCTTAATGTTTTGGTACAAATTCGAACATGCGCAATCTACTAATACACACTAAAACATACAAACGTTCTCTGGTTAAGTATAGAGCAAACATCTTCTCTCCACTCTCCAAGTCCAAAAACGTTCTAAAAATGCACTGCTCATTTTTCGGTAAAGTATTGGTCAGAAACTCTCTCATCTCCCAACTAAATTGCTAACCTCTACTAGCAACAAACTCCATGATGAATACACAGACAGTCTGGAGGAAACGACTTTTTACTGTCATCAGTTAAATAGTTCAATTCAAACTTTTCTTACGAACAGCGATCTGTTTGCCGATCCAATTGCACAATTACGCCTGTTTACTTTCATTTTAACGTCTGGTCTCTACATAAAGAGTGAAAAAGATAGTGTTTTCAAAGGTGAATAGTGGATGCATGTCGGAATAAAAGGTTATTCCTAGCATCGTCTAATAGCTTTCAGTAAGAGCTTTAGATTTGTAGTTTACCTAATTCGCTATCGAATAGAGGTCTCCCTACTTCTTGTTGCTTCACATATACATATATACAGTGTTTCCAATTAGGTCGGCACTATATGGAAAACTTTTATTTTTAGTTTTATGTAAAAAAAAGTTATTCTTTATGCAAAGTTCTAAATTATCTAAAACCTAGAATACAATTATCGGATATTCATTTTTTCAGTTGTACGGGCGGTTTGTCAAAAAATATGAACTGTTAATTCTTACAGAAAATTTATATTTTTTTTTTCGAACAGAGTATAAAAATCTAATATCTAATAATTGTATTCTAGGTTTTAAATCATTCAGAACTTTTTATAAAGAATAACTTCTTTTCACAAAACTAAAAATAAGTTTTTCATATGCGGCAGCCTTTGGGCACCCTGTATATATATATATATATATATATATATGCTGTCACTATTTTTCCGGGTTTGACTCCTTTTACAACGCGGAGTCAAACCCGGAAAAATAGTGACAGCACATATAGCTCCCGCGGAAACCTCAAAACAAACATATATATATATATATATATATATATATATATATATATATATATATATATATATATATATATAATTAAAATAAAAGTATATTTGTTCAATCTAAAAGTGTAAAATACTGGATCAGTATTCCTAACACATTTATCATTTTATTTGTCTTGTATTAGAGATCGCAGCAGATCTCTAAAAATATTTCTCTAGGACTAATCAAATATGTGTTTTTGATAATATGTACAATCATATTTACAATCCATAACCAATATTACACTAATTTTTATTTCATTTTATAATAATCTTGCCCATTGAGAGGCCCATAAACGTAAGCAAAAGTACACTTTCAAGATTTTGGAAGTATAATTTTAATCGCAATATTTAGAAATTCTTCATCTTAATAAATGTTTGTAATGTATAAAGTAATGCTGAATATGAAATGAGCAAAAATCAAAATTATGATTTTATTGTTAGTTTATTAGAAAAACATTACTGTTATCAATAAAAGG